AAAAAAAAAAAAAAAGAATAGTTCAAATTCACACTTGCAACAAACCTCATTCTATCAAGACACAGGAAAAACGAATGCAGGGATTTAGGAATGCTATACTGTACTTGCTTCTCTTCAACTTAAGCAGCAAAAGTTGCATAGTGAAAAAAATGATCAAAAAGCTCCTCTCTTAAAATTACGTAAACTAGAAATAATTATCTGTTCATGTTTATTCATTTGGCGGACTCTCTTTTTTTTTCCTTCTTTTTTCTTTTTTTCTTTTTTTTGAGACAGTGTTTCCCTCTGTCTCCCAGGCTGGAGTGCAGTGGCTGATGGCTCACTGCAGTTTTGATCTCCTGGGCTCAAGGAATCCTCCCACCTCACATTTTGTTTACAAAAATGTGGGTGAAGGCCGGGTGCGGTGGCTCACGCCTGTAATCCCAGCACTTCAGGAGGCCAAGGCGGATGAATCACCTGAGGTCAGGAGTTCCAGACCAGCCTGGCCAACATGGTGAAACCGATCTGTACTAAAAATACAAAAATTAGCCAGGCATGGTGACAGGTGACTGTAATTCCAGCGATTCGGGAGGCTGAAGATGGAGAATCGCTTGAACCCGGGAGAGGTAGGTTTCGGTGAGCCGAGATTGTGCCATTGCACTGCAGCCTGGGCGACAAGAGCAAGACTTTGTCTCAAATAAAACAAAACAAAATCGTGGGTGAGGAAATTAGATATTATCTCAAGAAAAGTGTAGGCATTTAAAACAGCGTTTGGTAGAAGGAATTATTAAGTCATCCCTTTTAAGTAGTCTATATCTATCAAAACACAACTATAATATGAGCTTGCCGTTAGCTCTAATGTATGTATCCTTTTTCATATAATTTTATTTTTATTTTATTATCTTATTTTTAGACAGGGCCTCACTCTGTCGCCCAGGCTGGAGTGCAGTGGCATGATCATAGCTCACTGCAGCCTCGACCTCCTGGGCTCAAGGGATCCTCCTGCCTTGGCCTCCTAAAGCATTGGCATTAAAAATGTGAGCTACTTTGTCTGTTTAGTATTTAGTTTAAAATCTATCAATTCAAAAATAAACAAAAACCAAACAAACAAAACCAGTTCAACCCGGATAAAATAATGACGTTTTGTGGAAGCCTGTTCTCTTTAAAATGCTCCCTTTTGTGTTCTCCCAATAGACCCGCACCCTTATGGAGTCCTATCCCCAGGATACTGTAATTGTGTGTGTATTTGGCCTGAGCATGGAAGTAGGGTTTGAATCTTGAATCTTTTTATTTCGAGCGCCTACCAAAGTTCCTAGCATATGGTAAGCACTCAATGAATGGAACTGAACTTATGTCTAAACATTGATTTCCAAGTTTCTTAGCATTCAACCATTTATTACATACTTGGCAAGTCCCTAAATGTGCTCAAGGCAATGTGGAGACGGGCAGAGATTTAATTCATTAAGAATAATACACATATAACAAGATAAAGACTTGGGATCTTCCTGGAAAGCAGAGACTTAACGGAAACTGTGCAAGGTGACCCGGACACCCGGGCTCCACCCTCTGCCCCAGTCCCCCACATCGACGGGCTCTGTTCCGGCTACCTTAGTCTGGGCTGGAGGGCGAGAGCGAGGGCGCCTGGGAGAAACCTTGTCCAGCGGCGGTTGATTAGTCAGGCCTCAGAAAGATGGCGTCCTCGGAGAAGGCAGAGCAGCCGAGCCAGGTAAGGGGAATGGGACTGTGCCGCTGGGCGGCTGAGACCCCGGCTGGAGGGGGCGCTCAGCATACGGCTGGGAGCCGGGTAGGGACCCCGAGTTTCCGAAGCTGGGGACCCCGACCTCTTACCCCCTCCTGAGCCCCGCCCCTCCCCAGGTCCTCCCCACCCGGCCCCTCCCTCGGTGACCCCTCTTTGACCACATTCCGGAGCCCGGGCTCTGGTGCCTGGCCATGTCCGTGGGTCCGCATTTCCCGCCTGCCAGCACCTCTGGTCCCACTTAAGCTCGGCGGGGAGGTTGGCGGGACCCTTGGGAAGTCCCCATCCTTGAGCTGCGAGGGTTTGAGAGGGAGACGATAGATCGCTCCCGGCTGTCCCTTCCAGGGAGGGGCCTGATTCCGTCAGGGTTCCCGCTCCGTCACGGCCTCAGCCTCCTGGAGTGGCTACCAGCCTCTTCATCTTTAGTCACCTTTGCTTCTCTCTCGTCAAGTTGGAGAGTCAGAAGTAATGTAGTCGAGCCTTCTCAGTGCATTGATAGGAAAGGGACGCACTGTGAACAACAGACGCCACTAAGCTTTTGGCTGAGACCCATCTTCGCTTCCCTGGGTTTGGTTTTGTTGGCTGAGGGCTCCACTCTAGCTTTTCACCTGCAGAGTCAGCCAAATCCCAGTCCAATAAGGGGACGATGAGGACCAGTGTTGATGCCTGTGCCTCTGCGGTCGGGAGGCAGTGGATGATAAGGCCTCCGAAGGGGGTTATAGTCCAAAGGTGGGGTGGGGTGGGGTGAGGAGAAAAAGGGTAAGAGAGATCTTACATTTAGCTGCATATGTGCTGTCATGTTGAGGACGCATTACATCTATATTCTCGTTTAGTGCTCATTATGCTCGCTACAACCTTTATGAAGTGCAGGCTGTTAACTTCCATTTCGCAGAAATGAATACTAATGGTTTGTGACTTGCCCCAAATCGTGTGCCCTGTTGAGCCTGTATTGAACCTGTATGTGTGACTGCGCTAGTCATCCAAACATTTTTGAGTTGAGTTAGGATTAGAATGAGGAAGAAGAAAATAGTTTCAGCTTGGGCCTCATTCCTCCTCTTCCATCTCCTTGAAACACCTTTAAGAGTTTTCAGCAGCTTACTAGCATTTCATTTCCTTTAGAGGCAGAAGACCACTGCTTAGTGTTTCTTACTGTCGTATTCTGCATGTCTGTTACAGGAATTGCACTTAAAAGAGTTGGTGTGTTCCCCTATACCAGCTTCTATTAGCGGTGTGAATGATTCAGGAAGAAGATGTCTTGATTGTAAAACGTGGGAAATAACAAGGATTGATTCTGGTCTTCTCACTGTCAGATGTTCTGGAGTTTGGCAAGTGTCTTAAGAGGAGGGCCTCTCCCTTCTTGCCTTAGCTCATTTAGTTTGCTGAAATACTGAGGCTTCTTGGGGTCTGGGTTTCTCTGAATTTTGTGTTAGGAATACCCACAGGCCGGGATTGAAGGGTGTCTTCAGTTCTTGATTTTTTTTTTTTTTTTTTTTTTATGGAGTCTTTTTTTTTTACCCAGGCGGAATGCCATGGTGCAATCTCAGCTCATTGTAACCTTCTCCTCTTGCGTTGGAGCAATTCTCCTGCCTCAGCCTTCCATGTAGCTGGGATTACAGGCATCTGCCACCACGCCTGACTAATTTTTGTATTTTTAGTAGTGATGGGGTTTCACCATGTTGGTCAGGCTGGTCTTGAACTCCTGACTTCAAGTGATCAGCCGGCCTCAGCCTCCCAAAGTGCTGGGATTACAGGTGTGAGCCACTGTGCCCTGCTCAGTTCTTGATTCTTATAGGACATTTAATTTGCCAGTGCTGTAAACAGTACTAAAAATCTTGCCACTTGGAGCCATTGTCATGCCCAAGGATTCTTTTGGTTTTGCAAGTTTGCCCTCCCTGTATATGTATTTAATAAAAAAGGACCTAAGGTTCTTTAAGGGGCCTTGGTCAGCCCTTGTTTGAAGCTCTGCTTCTCCTTTGCCCTCCTTTCCAAAGCTGGTAGAGGTAGGATTGCAAAAGAACATGCTGGCACCCTGGGGGAAAACCTTGAACTTTTCACACCAGATTCTGTTGCTATCTAACAAGTAGCAAATGCACACTTTTTGAGTGAACCAACTCTCTTTGACAATTGCTTGTTTCATTTTTAAGTCT